AATTCCCAGTCGTATTGTTTTGAACATAATTTTTACTTTAATTTCCCACCAGCTTTCTGTGATGGACTTGGGTCATTAATTTACGGTTAGATTATACTGTGTTTCAAACATTCACTGTCGCTGTTAAACAATGAGATGGAATACTTAGGGAAGTTAGAGATTCACACTAGTGTGAAAGGAGGACACACAGTTGCACTAAAAATGAATGACGTTCAATTTGAACTGGCCACAGATATGCATTGGAAAACAAATGGTGAAGATAAGCATCGAGTTGCAACTGAAATGAACCCAAACAGTCATTTGTACCTTGTAAAGACTTCTTTTGCTTGTGTGCTTTGTTGCCTTAATATAAGTCATTAATTTGATCATACTTGGAGAACAGAACTGTTCCTTTCAAATTTTAAAGATGTGCATTAAATTTGAGAAAACATATCACATGATACCTCTTGAGAGCATTAAAATTTTACACATTGAGAAAACAAAGTCTACAAGCATAACAGGCCTATAACTATTAGTTTTTTGGTGATCTGATCAAGGCACCCATCAGAAGCAATTGAAATACCAAGATAGCTGCTTTTGGACATAATAAAACCTTTTCATTTAGTTGATCTAGCATGTACATTGCATAAGGCAATAAATATCATTACTGCAGTGATGAGAATAGAAACAGCTCATTGTGTCCTTGCAAAGTAAATACACGTAGTAAACTTTGAGTTTCATTGTATAGTTCAAATTTTGGAGTCTGGATACCGGTGTGTGAACATTGAATTCATAAACTTTGTGAAATCTTCATAAAGCAGCAACTAAGGTTGACTGACTATAAAACTAACTTTATGTTAAATACTTTCAGGTGTGAGGTGACAAATGTGATCATGTAACCCAAAAATTTGAGTCTAGGAAACAGGAACTTAACAATAGATGTAGGGGCCATTTTTAGCCCTAACATAAGGGAAGCTTATAACCTTAAAAGTATTAACAAAATGATCAAACAGAGAAAAACAACAGCAAAAAGTAATGATAATCATAATTTACCACTCAATGATGCAATGTGCTTCATCAACCACCACAGCCCTAACATTTTTCTGGTAGTAAGCCGACAAAAAAGGTCTCTACATTGCCTGTTGCTTACTGCTACCTCGGGGTGTGTAAAAATTAATTCAAACTTTCCATCTTGAAGGTCTTCAAGAATTTTCTCTTCAAATGCACCATCGACCTCGTCACCGCAAACACGCAAACTTGTACAATTGACACCAGCTGATTTAAGTTTATTTATTTGGTCATCAATTAAGGCATTCAAAGGAGAAACAACAATGACAATTGACTTGTCCTTCGATGAAAGGTTCCTCGCACTAATTTTATCAAACAGTGACAGTAGCATTTGGTAGATCAACGACTTTCCGTAGCCAGTTGGAGGAACAATTAAACAATCCTGACCTTTAAAAACAATCGACTGTAGTGCTTCTTTTTGTCTAGGCTTCAGTATAAGATTTCCTTGACCTCTATTTCGAAGGACATCTTCAAGAACACTGTCCAAATCCATGTTTTCCTTATGTTTCCCGAACAGTAAGCACGAACATGCGCAGTTATAGCAAGGCCCGTATATCGGGCCTCGCTTCTACTGAGCATGATCGAAATCGAACTTTACCAGATCTCCCTTTCCCTTGGCCGTGGGAGGTCTGGGTACGAGATTAGTAGTCATCTTCAGAGTCAAAGTAAGTTGTATTACGTCAGTTGATCTTATTACACTCTGGTTATTGATCTGATTGGTCAATTACGTCGCGATGTTATTGGTCGTCTGTCAGTTAAGACGGGATGTTAAAAGTATACTATAATGAATTGTTTTTACTTCGAAGAATGATAACAGCTGTGGAGGCCGAGCGAGCGAACTCGTAAGTGAGAAATTTATTTGTACGTAATTAGGTAAGGCAAATCATATATCTTTAATATACAGGAAATAAACTTTATATGGAAAACAGCTATCACATCAGAATGTCTCTTTTTCCAAATCTAAACTCTGACAGACACTCGGACTCTGTCATTTCTTTCAGGTTGAAAGTTGAATAATCTTTGTGCGAAAAGCAGGTGTTTTTCCACTCGAAAAGGTCAGACAACACAAAAAATTCTCCATCGTCAATGACATTAGACGTACGGCTTAAAAATTAGATCTTGCATTGTTTTAAAAGACGCCATTGCGAAAACCTTTTTTGCGAACGAACATCACAGTTTTACATTTGTGTTTACATTCAGTGTCGTCGTCGCCGACCTACCGACCGATTGCATCTTAAGTTTCCTTTTTCCTGCCGAAACTGACGTTCTCGTTCCAGTCTTTTCCCAGTCAACAGACGTCGTCGTCGTGAACTTCGTCGTGGTTCTTAAGTTCCCTATTGTGTTTACGAAAAGCAACTTTTCTTTTCCTTCCTTGCTCGGTTTTGCTTCAGGAGCGCAGACTTCGGTTTCTGTGAGTTTCATTTATTTCTGATTGCAATTTGTCTTTCAAATTGTGTTGGTAGCCTCTGTCCATCATCAACCATCAAGCGTTCTTTTGAATTTTGAAACACTTTCCTCAAACTCTTTTGACAAATCGGTGGGTGACAAACCGTAAAATGTGTGCTGGAAGGTTTCCGTAGTCTTTACATCAAAGATAGCTTTTTCGTTTAATCTTGTGCCTTTGTAAACAACTGTGTCTAAAAACATTGTCTCAGTGAATTTCGGTGGTGAATTTAATAGTAGGATCATGTAAGTGTGCTTCTTCGAAGAAAGTTACGACGTCTGGTTTAAAGACGGTTTAGCTGCTTAGACTTTGTGTTTCAATATATGACATAAAAATTTTGGCAGAGGAAACTGCTGTCTTTGTGCCCATCGCGGTACGATGGGTTTGGAGGTAGAGCTTTCCATTGAACTGGAAAGAATTTTCTTTGAGGATTAATCTAAGCATTTGTCGCATATAATGTTTAGGACTAGACGGGTTGTAGAAATTTTTGGCATACGCTCTGCAAACCGTTTCAATATCCTCGTTTTGTGGTACTGACTTGTAAGACTTGTGACGTGGTATCTTTGGTTACTTCCTAGAAAGGTAGAAAAAATACTATATACTCTTCTTTCTGAAAAAAATATAGATAATGTTGGTCCATGTCGGTAGTCGGTTAATAATTTTCCTGTCAGAAGTCGGTAATTTTTTTCGCGTTTTGTCGGTAGTCGGTAATATTTTTTGCCCTTTGTCGCTAGTCGGTTAACCCCATTCACACCCTCTTGTGGTTGACAAGTAAAATACCACATTCATAAGTACTTTGCTTTACTTTATCCAAAAGCTTTACTTTTATCGTTGAAAGAAGTTGAAAAACATGCATTTTCACTCTGAAATGGCTTGATCACCTTCTACTTGTGACGTCATATCTAGTAACCATAGTAACTGATTATTACTAAACTTGTCTCAAAATGGGTGTGACGGATCAAAAAACAGCTGCTGAAAACGTCAGGTACTGATGTTTGATCGTCTGGTAGAAAAAATTCATAAAAACCTCGTGGGGTGGAGGGGCGGGGGGAGGGGGGGGGTGGGTTGTTATACGTCCGAGGTTTAAAAGAGTATGTATGTATGTTGCGCGTGACTTCTCGCGATATCCCCCCAGGGCCTCCCCCAGGGCCATGTTGTTCAAAAGGTGAATAACTATCCACTGGATAAATATCTATTCAAAGGCAAAACAATGGTGAGTTACTCAGTGGATAGCGCTATCCAACATTGAACAACCGGGGCCAAATGGAGAGCTTCCCTTAGGTAAAGGTAATGCCCGAATTACCTGGTGACACTTCTTTTTTCAAAACGCAAGTCATGGTGGGTTATATTTTGTTTCTCTTTCCTTACGTATGCCCGACTTTCAGTGTCAAATTTAACAATTCAAAGTGCTGTGATTGATATTATGTTTGTAAAGATCTTATGGGAAAGTGTCACATTTAACTTACCAAAATGAAACAGAACTATAGTTTCACCTGTTTTAACTTACTTGTCGAACTCAGTATTAGCAGAAAAGAAAGTCGGGTTAAAGAAATTTGGGCCACGTTATTATATTATGTCATACGCACCGCTTTTAACAGTACGGTTACCACTTGTAATACTTCAAACGGAAAAACTTATGAAATGGCAAATTAAAGCCAAACTGAAACCATCGTCCGTAAACTTGTCTTCTATCAAGTGACATTGCCTCAGCTCTAAAAAATTAACAGGTGGAAGAGCTAACAAAACCTGAGAAGAGGATACAACCTGTAATAATGAATTTATTCAAATTGTTTAGTTTAAGTGTCGTAGACAAAGGGTAACTAATAAACCAGCAGATAGACAATTTAACCGCTCGTGATCTTAAAGCCACAACCGACTCTGTGTTGCTTTCTACGGTTTTCTTGTTTTCTTAGAAAATCTCTGTGAGAACAGCCACAATGGCGGATGCTCTGGGCAATCGCAGTTTCTTTTTAACAAGCGTGGAAGTCTTCTTTCTTGTGATCTTAAACGTTCTATCGTTAACCGGGAACATAATGGTGTGCATTGCAGTTTACAAGAACACACGACTACGCAGAACCACAAGCCTGTATATCATAGCTCTTGCTGTAAGTGATTTGATGTCCGCTGTATTTGTCATGCCTTTTGCATTGGGTGTGCTTATAACGGGCGAATGGGTTTATGGCCCAGTGATCTGCCACTTTCATGCCTTCTTTGTTCTGTTTGTGGTGTACGCTTCAACCGTCACTATGGGTTTAACAGCGTTTGACAGATATGTGAGGATTTGTAAGTCTGAGCAGCAATACAAGAAAATTTTTTCACCGAGGAAGTCACAAACCTGGATGGCATGTGCATGGTTCTTCATTGCTTGCTACAGTGCAGTTCCTAAGTTAGCTGGTCTCCAAGATTATGCGTTCATTCCAGGATATGCCACTTGCGGTGTAGCTCATCTCAGTGAAAGTGGAAAAATCATTCACTATACCATTGTCATCAGTTTTTTCTTTTTAACACCGTTAATAACAACAGTATTTAGCTACATAAAGGTTGCAAAGATGATCCGACAGCACAATGCCGCTATGTCATCTACGATTCACAGGGGCGCAACAGGCTCAAGCATCACCGTGCAGGAACTGAAGCTGAGTAAGTCTCTCTTTGTGGTTGTGTTCGCGTTCATGATATGCTGGATCCCACTTTGGGTGATCGTTGTTGTAAAGCGCTTCCACGTCGTTGAGAGGATGCCACGAAATATTGAACTCCTCACTATTTTCTTTATTTATCTGTCAAATACAATAAATCCTTTTATATACGCAGGGATGAATCCTATCTTTAAAAGTGAATTCAAAAAAATGTTTTGCTGTGAGCGAAGGTTCTTCAACAGGATAAACCCGCAGCATCATGAATTAAATACCGCAGCAACCAAGAGATCGACAAGCATAGCAGCGCTTCAGTTAGGTACTACTTCTACAAGGTAGTGGATAGAACTACTAAAACGCACAAGCCTTCAGTAGGATATTAAACATCACAAGTCCTTGAAAAAAGAAGTCCAAAAAATTACGTGATTACGTGAACAACATTTTTGAGGAATTAGATGATGATGGTAATCAGCTGCAGCAGCATAGGCCTAGTTAAAGTAAATGATTCTGGTCCACACGCACCTACTGACAAAACTGCCATATTTACTTCTCTGAAATCAGGAGACTTAGTGTTCACTGACCGATCTGCAAAGTAGAATTGTCATATAAACAATTCAAGAGTTTTTCTCCCAAACTGGTCCAAAGCATTAAATCAAGAGATGTCCAGCCAGGGTTGTCATCCACTCATGGCGCCAATCGACACCGTTGGCACAGACGGTCCTCATCCACGTGTGTTAAAAGAAGTAAACTATGTGATTGCTCCAGCTTTTTGTGGCATTTTCCGAGCTTCCCTACAGTGTGGTGACACTGTACCGTCTGATTGAAAGCAGGGTTATGTGACAATAACCTACATAAAAGAGTCTAGGCCAATTCCCTTAACAAGCATCTGCAGCAAGATCACGGAACATGTTAGTTTCAAACATTGTTCGCCACCTTGAGAGTCATGATCATATTCTAAACAATTTTCAGCATTGTTTCCGACAACTCAACTCTTGTGAGACTCAGCGGATAGGTTTTAGGATGTGCAGAATGGTGGGCAGACATATGTGATCGTCATGGACTTTTCAAGAGGCTCGAATTGCTGATGATCTTGTCGTAAAATCCTTGGATGACTGTTCAACTGCAGAAAGTTTTACGTAATTTGCAAAAATGGGGGAAAAACTGGAAATGGAATCAATATTGCCAAATAAAAGCTCCTTAGGGTGTGTTCCTTTCGGTGAATCCAAAAACGGATTTTAGATCTAAGAACGGATTTCGCGTTCCTTTCTGCAAATCCAAATCCGGATTTTTGATCTGGTGAATCCTTTTTGAAAAAGGATTCATTGGATTTGAAATCCGAGGAATCCAAATCCAGATTAACGGATTAGTGATCTACGCTGTTCCATTCACAGTGGATCCGAAATTAGTCAGATGATTCAGCGGTATTTCCAGTTGAAGCATTCCCATAGAGGCCGTAGAGTTTCCTCGTTGCTGTCATTTGCCGCAAAACATCTGAAAACACTAGAAGATTTTTCCTGGTACATTAAAATATCCATATACTAACCATTTGTCTCTAAAGATTGCTTGAAATCAGAAATAATTAAAAGTAACAAACGAACTGCTATCTAACTACAAACTCGCTTGTAGACGCGACAGGCACTCGATCGTGTTACATAAAAAAATCCGAGCTATGGAACTGGATCAAACTGGCCGACATTCTTTAGATAATTTTCAATTTTAACGCGCTTCTTTCTTTGTCTGTTTTATATGTTCCATCGTCGCTATTCGAACTGCCGACCACTAAATTCTGCACGGGATAATCGCATAATTTGTCAAACAGTAGAAAACACGTCATTTCTTGAGAGGCTGTCGTGCATATTGCACGCGTTGGCGAAAGGTTACCAAGGTTACAAATCCAATTTCGGATTTCACGTTCCTTTCAACCGCGAAATCTGGCAAATCTAGGATCCAAAATCCGTTTTTGGATTCGCCGAAAGGAACACACCCTTAAGAATTAGAGGCGACTTGAGCCCTTTATTTTCAATTACACACTTCACGGTTGCTACCCTGAGGCAACAGATACTACCAAGTATCTTGGAGTATATCTTTCCAAAGATCTTAGGTAGAACAATTATATGACAAATATCACAAACAAAGAAAATAAGATGTTGGGATTCCTAAAGCGAAATCTGAAACAGTGCTCCTCATACGCGAAGGAGAAGGCATGCAAAGCTCTTGCGCGGCCTACAGTTGAATACTCCTCATCATCATGGGACTGTTATACAGGCAAGAACATTGTGCAGGTTGAAATGGTTTAGAGGAGAGGAGCTCGTTGGGTGCTGTCACGTTACAATCGTTAGGACAGTTTGTCTGATATGCTTAACTGCATTGGACTGGAAGACATTGCAATCTTGCAGAACAATATTCCCTGTCTGTTGTGCTTTACGAATTCAAAAATATCTTAGTCAATAAGTTAGTTATAAGTTTAATTTTTTTAATTTTTCATTTTTTCCAAGATCCAAACAGGAATGAATCAGACTGCCAAGACAACTAGCATTGGATGCTTGGGAATTTTAATGAAGCTATTCATAGATTTATTTGTTCACATTTTGGGTATCTGTTTATTATTATTAATTATTACATTTTTGGGTTTCGCTTTTGTAAACAGTCCTTTATATTCATTTTTGAATCTTACGGCTTAAAGTGGTAAGTAAAGGAATAATACCTTATTTTTGATCGTTTATGGCACTGCTGTTCTGAAATTTCTAAGAAAACAGGTGTTGGCCAGCCAAAGACGAACTAGCATTGGCCAGGATTGTTATGTAAATTAAGTTATATAATGTGCAATGATGCCATATCAACAAGCTACAAATTAGGAGCTGCAATTTTGAAAAGGAAATTTTGTGCTGATTTTCTTCCTCGTGAATATGAGATCATTTCCTCACAACTGTAAGAAGATCGATGCAGCAAGATAAATTTACTTATACGCAGCTGTAGCTGTGAATCTTGTCTATCACCACATTGAGTAACATTGAATTGTTTTAGGTACCTGCATGATCCTATAATGGAGTAAATGGAAGGCTCGCTGATATTTAGGCATCCTATGACATCTAAATAAGTCAAGCTTAAACAATTTGATGCAAGAGCACTCATGGATTCACTGGTGATATGAGCAGATGTCTGCATTCCCCTGAATGACATATCAAAATACTGCAGCTTATTGCAACTTTTTGCAAGACTGATAACCCCAGTATCTGTGATTTTATGACACCCAGCAATGCTTAAGGAAGTAAGATTTGGACAGGAGTTTCCAATTTGTTTCAAAGTTCTGTCTGTTATCTTGGTGCAGTAAGACAGATCCACATGGCCAAGGGAGAGGTGCTGGGCTTTGTCTGATTTAAACTCAAGGTCGTTAACATACGAGCAAACTTGCATGTCGAGATATGTAAGTTTGACACAGCTTTGCAAGATGTCATTTATGCTACTCTGTGTGATGCGCAAACATTCTGAGATCTCCAAACTCCTTAGGTTTTGGCAGGACGCTGAAATCATTTTAATAGATGCATCAGAAATCCCAAGACAGCCGCAGATGTTAAGATGAGACAACTTTCGGCAATTTGATGCAATTGAAAGAATACCCTTGTCAGTAACACCTTGGCACCATTTAACATTTAACTGGCATAAATCCAAACATTTCTCAGCAATTCTTTGCACTGCAACATCAGTGATATTGCCTGCAGGTCTTGGCAATTCACAACCTGAAACTTCCAAAGTCTGAAGCAGTCTGCAGTGTTTTGCTACATTTTCTATTGACACATCAGTGACACAAGGACATCCTTTAACAATAAGATGCAGTAGACTTTGGCAAGACTGAGCAACAATGGAAATACCTTCATCGTCAATACCTGGACAGTAAGAAACATCCAGGAGTTGGAGAGCAGGACAAGAGTAACTGATAACAGATAAAACATCATCAGTCAGTCTCACACAGCCTGTAAGCCCAAATTCCAACAAATCAAACTTGCGGTCTGTTAAATCAATCACTTCTTCATCGATTCCTGAATTAAGGAAATAAACCTTTTTCAAGTTGTAGTTCATTTGTACGGCGCTCAACACTTTCTCGTTTAAGCAGAAAAAAAATTCTGCCTCGTTCGAGTTTTCGTCTCTTTCACAAGTAACTCTCAGTTCTTGAAGTGACGCACAGGCGTTGATCAAATCCTCTATGACGTTTGGTGATACATTTGCTTTGTGCACTGTGATCCTTAAACAGCGGAGACGGTGGCAATACTTGAATAACATCGCCAACCCGACATCACTCAGTAGTCGACAACCAGACAAATCGAGGACTTCTAAATTGGGACATTGATCGGCAATAAGTTCAAAACATTTATCATCCATCCGACCACAGTTTGAAAGGTCAACATTCCTAACATTTCCACACCAAGAAAAAACTCGTTTCAGCACCTCATAACAAAGATTATCACAGTTTGGAAAAGGTATTTTCCTCCACAAACTCGGATCTTCTGACAAACGAAGCCATCTCTTGCAAACTCTTCTTAATCTGAACAAGTTAAAAATACGCCTTTCTGCCGTAAAACTGAAAATTCTCAAAACAATAGATTCTGGAAGGTCTTGAAATTCAATTTCTCTTGCCATTTCGCTCTTGATGCCAACGTAAATAGAACTATTAGCTTGTTCTTTCAGGTCCAGCTTACGCTTACTTGTCGGCCATTTTGTATTTTGAACAACCTCGCCCCAGGCGTTCTCCTGTTTTGACAACGGGGAGTCCCGAAAAGGCCTCGACAAGGCCCGTAAACTCTAGCGGGACTGTTTACGGGATGGTCTGATTGCAAGGGTGGTGCTTCTTTGTTATGGTGTGATGCAAGCCTTGGTGTGCTGGTTTGTTACTTGGTGTTACGGTCCACGAATTTATGGTAATTAGTATATGCCAATGTCTATGTAATCAGAGTTTCTGATGTACTAATATAATGGGAGTATCATGGAGTCAAGGGTTATAGGTTTCGTGGTGTCAATGGTTTCATAGTTTCATGTGTTTCGTGGTTTCATAGGTTCATTGGCATATACTAATTAGCATAAATTCGTGCACCGTAACGTTAACACCAAGTTGTAACCGCTGGGTCTGAATCAAGATTGCAAGAATGGCGAGGTATAAATTTGTAGAATGCGAACCAGACCAGACTGACTTTTTTTACCCTGGAATTGGTTAGAATGTTTCCATTCACGAAAATTAGCCGTTCGTAAAAACAAAAACAAAACCAAAACATAACAAAACCAAACAAAAAGAAAAGAACAAAAAATTGGAAACATAACAAACAACAACAACAACAAAAAAAAGGCTGCAACTTCCGTCGCTTGAGTTTCATATTTTCATGTTCTTTGCGCGCGTCAAAACAAGGAAACCGCAGAAAATACAGTCGACCTCTTGTCACTCAGAAATCACGAATATTCATCTAGGATGGAAAAAGATCAATTCATTCATGATCAAGAGAGGATAAACATTCTAACTCGGCTTAGCGAATGAATTCAAAACAACAGACTTCGGCCTGATCTGCTCTTAGGTTAATCCTTACGATCGACACCGGCTATGAAAATATCATATTGTATTAGAAAGATGAACACTGTAAATAAAAAAGAAAACAGTGAACCTCACAGAGGTGTTTGAATTAGGTAAACAAATAATGATAAAAAAACAACAACA